TGGACAGTTCAAGAATATTGTTTTCAGAAAAGCTGGGATCGTATATAGGGATCCCGGGATTTGACCAATTCAAGAATATAGTCTTTGATTTTTCCAATTAATTAGGCATATAATTATAAGTATTGTGATTTTGTTAATAAATAGCTCTAAATATATCTATATCCTAAGTTAAATCAATTTAACTTTCATTACATACAGTAAAAAAAAACTTACCGTTTAATGGCCTTTCATTACGACAATAATCAACACAAATATAGTTTATTAGTTTTTTCCCTTATTATCGTATACGATCCCGGATCCCGGGCGTCCCGGATCCCGGCCAGTAAATACATATACTAAATACCGGAAAGGATAAAATGACCGGAAAAAAGGAAAAAGAAAAAAAATGCACATAACCAGATGTCGTTTATGTTAATTAACCAAACGAAAACTTACTACAGAGTAAACAGGACTGGTGAAATCGCTAAATCAAAAGTCAGTGTAAATATGATTTACTGAAAAGAATCCATGAAAACAAACATTTTAATCATCAATATATCTTTGCGCTCAAAACAATACTTGCTGCTTTTTAAAAATGGCGTGAAAATTGAAGGTTTTTTGACGCTATATAAGATCAAATTTGATTGGCTAAATAATTTTGGATCCTAGCCCTGATAGATAAATTTTGTAGAAAGCTGGAAGCTAAGCTTCGATTAAATTTTTGGATTGATTCGGAGTTTTAGGTTGTTTCTCAGTAAAATCCTATCGTAATACCGGCTCGCCGTGGCGAGCCGGCATAATTGTATGACAAAATACCCCCGTAATATTTCATAGTCCTTGTTTTGTTAAAGTCTACTTTTATGAATTAGACCTACTATAGTAATATGTACGGTAGCAAGACACTTCACCCTCCAGACACTTAAACCCTCAAATTTTGAAGACACCACTATCAAGACACTTCACCCCCCAAAATCAGTAAGACACTTCACCCCTCATCCAATTTTTTTAATAATGTAAATAAGTCAACATCATAATGCTTTTATATGTTAGGTTTAATTAATTTTAGTATTATAATTATTTGATTAATAATTTTTTAGTTAAAGGACAATCTACAGACATTTTCTAAGAGTAAGTGAAACAAATAAAACAAGTAATAATTTATTTAACTCATTTACATTTAACATGCATTAAAACACAACATGAAGCTGACAAACAGTTTAATACTTAGATATATTATCATTGAAACATAACATAGAGAGAACACACACATATACATGTATATATATATATATTTATTTACAGTTTCAGTCATATATGAATTGATATAATGAGAAGTTGATTCATAGTCTATTCTGGAACAGTGTTAAACACTGGATATCCTGTTAGCGCTTTAACTAGAACTTTCATCAGCACATATTTCTTTAAATCTGACCGACAGTATCTGTTCACTGGTTCAAAAAAACACAATTTTTATTAACGTCCATGATTTTCACCCACTTTCTCCGAGAATTCCTCAGTCCTTAATTCATGATGATTGTATTGCTTACTGTTATACAAAGCACTTTCATGCATTAAGAGTTAATTGCATGTCACCTTGTTTATTCAACATGTTGATTAGTTGTTTATTCAACAGTTCTCATAATTGAATCTTTTGATTAGATAATTGGATTAAAAAGGTATTATTGTAAGAAAATTAAAAAAAATAATAATATTGTATGTAAATAAATAAATAAATAAATAAATAAATAAATAAATAAATAAATAAAAATGAATAAATAAATAAATAATATTGTATGAAAAATAAGTAAATAAATAAATAAAATGAATATAAAATGAACATAAAAGAATATGAATGATTATGAATGAATGAATGAATTATTTATTCACTTATTGTAATAAATAATAAAAGAACAATTAGTTTTTACTTTACTTACAAAATGTCCCTAACAAATTAAGTAACTTACCAGTATCACATGCTATATGTTGCCAGTTCCATTTGTATTCATGTTTTGCTTTCAATCAATTAAACAAGATACTGTCAATAAAAGACACAAAGGAAGAGTGAAAGAGATTATATACTTTATATATATCAAAGGAAAATTCACACAAAGGTTCACACACTTCAATAGAAAGATTATTCAATTTGCTTCACTTTAATTGAAATTAGTAAAAAATTATATAAAAAATAAAATAAAAAATTGACTTACTATTAACTTCATGATATGAGCCTTTTTTGTAGGGCAAAAACAACAATATATCCATTGTCTTTGGTCAGTTACATCATAAAAAAGTAATAAAATATGTTAAAACAATAAACATACTCAATCACTATTGAAAACATTTAACATATTCTACATAAATAATTTTTAAACACAAAATAAAAAAATGGGGGGTGAAGTGTCTCAATCAAAGTTCTTAAAATGAGGGGTGATCTGTCTGAGGGGTGAAGTGTCTGCAAAAAAAGGGCCTAGGGTGAAGTGTCTGGGGGGTGAAGTGTCTGTAAATCATATGTGCAATAAATTTTGTATACTGATTTTTTTCCCCCTCAACCTTCATACATCATTATATGTACTCACTAAAATCACATACTGGGATCCTACATATTACCGGACAAATAATGATGTTTTTTATCTGTAACTTTTATCTAAAATAATAAAAAAGAATGGAATTTTACCCAAATAATTTTGGGTTCTTAATGATTAATGCATGTAAACATTCCTTTATCAAACATGAAATTTAACATTTGACCATAGAAATGTGTCTTTAGTTTAAAGTAGGGCATTACAGGAGGAAAAAAATCGTGTACAACTCAATTTACCGGACATTGTGTTTCAAAAGTTTTTGAAATTGTGAATTGAAATTAATCTTTAAATAATTAGCAAGGAAACTACGACTATTGAATGGCAAAGTTAAGATATTTGAAAAACCCAGTATGTCACTAGAAATAGACACGGCAACCATGCCTGTTATCAAGAGGCCAATATACGGGGTGTAAATGAAATTAACACTATTAACTCAGTTAAGGTATTGATTCTTCATGAATCTTAAACATATGAAACAATTTGGTATTTAAATGGAATTCTGTTCTTTGTCATACAGTTTCCTTTTGGTCATCATGTAGCATGTTACAAAAGCCATAAAATCTATTTTATTTACATTTCATGTCGAGTTTCCTCCTATGGGCTGAACCCGTTTCCTTATATGTTTTTTAATTTGCATTTCTTTGTAAAAGACAACAACGAGGTACTTTTTGGACTAAATTTAGAATTACTTTTTATCATTAAAATATGTTAGTAAAACCTGTCTAAAATAACCCATTAAGGGCCTCCATATATGGGCCTGCGCAGAACACTGATTATTCCCCCGCATGACCAGGTCATGAAATAACTAGTAAACAATAGGCATGATAAAGAACTGAATCAACAATATTTACCTGAGAGTGGTTTTGTTGTTATTTACTTTAAAATAGAAAGTGTGTGTACGATTCAGACTGTATGATTTTTTAATCAAAGCAAAAATTAAGCACTATTCGGCAGGAATAGCTTTTGTCCGGTAAACTGATTGTCCGGTAAATATGTAGGATCCCAGTATCTCATGTTTTTACTTTGTTGAAATTCTAACTGGGATGTATTCTGTATAAAACCCAATTTGAATCTGTAGTTCTGCACATTACATTTTCAATGTTATAATTCATATATTATTAATAATATAATGTTCAACAAAAAATATTTCAACAAAAAAGCTTATCTACATGACCTACCAAAACTGGCATGGATCGCAGTATTAGAAACAAATATATTTTTATACTGGCCTTATTAAGGTGCATGTCAAAATATCCTGTAAAGACACTTATGTAATAAAAATTATCATCTCACATTTTTATTAAAATATCTACCATAAGATTCCATCAAAAAAATTCTTATTCAAGGGCACATAACTCAGAAGTGAGAACAGTGACCCCCCACCCCTTATTTCTTTTTTTTTTGCTTTAAATGTTTTTATTATCATATTCTAACAGCATGCCAAGTTTTAAGAAAAAAAATATGGAGAACAGTTTTAATTTTGCCTATACGTCTATGTGAAAACTCCTGAAAATGTCATTGAAAGAATAGTCTAGCATTCCTTCTGATTGTCTACTAAATATATTTTAAAATTACATTTAATAAATTTCATAAAACAGAAATAGCGACATTTCATTAATAAATTGGGTTTTATATCAACTCAAGATCTTATTTTGGTGTCCAGACAACCAAAATGAGTTTTATTAGCATACAAATGTGCAACCTCATTCGGAAGTACAATTTCTGTTTGCATGAGAAACTCTGCCTTCAGATCATCCGTACATCAATTTTAAGTCAACAAACATGACTATAAGTAGCAGTCCTAATTTAACGGTATATTTCCGCATTGTAACGGATATTTTCATACAAATTTAATCTTTTTTTATGAGATGATTATTTTTTTGAACCCAATGCCTAGTGCACGGTGAAGCTTAAACGGTTAAAGTGTGTTTGCACAAGAAAATCTTATATTTGCTGTGTTCCGGATAGCAACTATAACACCGTGACGTAGCGCATACACGAGCTGATTATAGTCTTCATTTGCATGTTAAAGTTCGTATACGAACTTTAGTGTTACCGTGGGGTTTTCCATTTAAAATCCTAATTTATGAACAATATTTGATGAGATTTACAAAAATACTGTTAAAAAAGTTAATGAAACTGTAGAATGCATGGTTTTAAGGCGGCTTGCCGACTGCAAAAATATTTTTACATATTTATTTTATGTAGCTTTAAACCCATGTGAATTCCAAAGTGATGCTGATGATAAAAGAATTTTTTTTCAACTAATTTTTTTATCCCTACTTTGATACAGTATACCTTAGCAACCAATTCTCTGAATGTACTTGTATGCTAAAACAGTTTTTATAAATAAAAAACTTGTAAATGTCAGATGGACTGACCAAGCCTTGACAAATATTTTTACTGTTTACATCAGTTTCACTTGTTTTATTTTTTCAGGCTCCTGAAAAAGTGATTCTCGAAAAACACATATTTAAAGGAATGGAACACTTCCTTAACTCAGAAAAGTTTTCTGATATAGATGTTAAAGTTGGTGAGGAAGTCTTCAAGTGTCACAAAATTGTTCTAGCTTCATGGAGCGCGTATTTCGATGCCTTGTTTATGTCTGGAATGAGTGAAATAATACATGGGGTAGTGGAGTTGACAGCAATTGATGCAGAAGACTTCAAAGACATTCTAAAGATCATGTATACAGGTAACTGTGAGGTGCACAAAGAAAACATTCAAGGACTCTTGTTTTCTGCTTCATACCTTCAGATTTTGCCATTGATCGAGGGTTGTGAAAACTTCATTAAAAAATCATTGCTGAAAACCGATGCAAGTTGTATTTTGCATTATCTACAAATCAGTCACCAGTTGAATTTGACTAACCTAGTAGAGCATATTCTGGATTTTATTGCGATTCGCTTCAAGACCTTCGAAGTATGTAATGAATTTTTCGAGTCTCTGTGTGTTGACGACATGAAAACCTTGCTTGGATCCAAGAAACTAAACTGTAAGTCAGAAGATGAAATTTGTACTGCATTGCTGTGTTGGATAGATGTTGATCTGATAGGTAGGCAAGGGTACACTAGAGATCTTGTTAAAAAGATACATTATCTTGCTCTGTCTAATGACTACATGAGTAAGATTTTCCTTGAGCACAAGGCTATCAAAGAGAATTGTACGATGAATGAGATTAGGAGTCATTGTTTAGAGTATTTGTCGCTACCCAGACAGCAGTCCGACTACATTGGTGAACCTGTAGCATCACATAGACTTGGTCATCGACTTCGTGATGCTATTGTAGTCTTTTATAAGAAAAGTGTGAAACTGTTTAGATGTGAAGAGAAAGAAGATGGCAGCTTGAACTACATCCATTCTACTTTTACAGACGGTCACGAGGAAAACTTAGGAAGACCTGAAGATGTTAACGAGAAAGTAATTACAGCATGTAATTATGGAAGGTCAGAGGTCATTGTGTCAAATGGACAGAGACTGCTACATTTTAGTGGACTCACATGGGTTTGGACTTCTGGTCCAAAACATTTGGTACCATCAAGCATAAACTGTGTTGTTTGTAATCAAAGATCTGGTGATATATACAGTGTTGTCGTAGATACAGATATAGTTTTTATAGAGAAATGCAAGTTTGATAGTGAGAATGGATTCGGAGAACTGGAGATGGAGATGCAACAAGAAATTGAAAATAGTTCCTACCATTATGACAGAAAGTACAATGACAGGAACGAAATTTACCAAGAAAATGGTAGAACTTGTGCATACATGGTGGACGAAAATATATTTTTCATAAAAACTGGAGTGGCTCCAGAATCAGAACGTGCAACAGTGTTTAAATACAATACAGAATCTAAAACCATAGGTATTGTAAATATTTTACCATTGAAGTATCAATTTGCTACAGCCGTGACTCACAAAGGTTTAGTTTTTCTGGTAGATAGGAAGAATAAGACAATTATCAGAATATCCGAAGGCGGACATTGTTTTGAGAAGTACGGGCAAATTGGAATGTATGTACAAGATAAGGAATTTAACGATATAAAGAATTCTAGTGCTTGTATATTAAATGGAAAACTTATCAAGACAGGTGGCAGGATCCCACATATTTGTGGTCATTTAAGTATGACCTGTATCTTAGAGTATGATTTATGTCAACATGTTTCGAAAGTTCATCATTTAGAAAGTTTTTGTCACAATATGAGGGTAGAAAACGATGCAGTGTGTTTAAAACTAACCATGCAACCTCTTGGGTAGTGTTATAAGGGAAGCTATGGGGATGCTTCTTGAGTTTTTTATATGGTAATGAAAATCTGTCATGAAAATTCACGTTCTTGTGTGAAGTGATATAAATTGTTGACTGGAAGATAAAGTGCATACACATGTAAAATATACTATAATGTTCACATTGATGCTTTATGAATACCCCTATTTTCATCTTTTGTTGTTTGCTACCAATACTGATTAAATTAGTGATAAATTTAATTGCATATTGTTTTAATTAAGATTTTACAGGTAATGAGAATTACACACAATTATATGTGTATTCAAATTTTTATGCATGGCTTTATTTGGACAAAAAGACCGCAAGGGATGTTAGAAATAATTAAATAGAATTAATGAAGCATTATGTTTGATTTTCCTTTTAACATTTTTCATTTTGTAACTACATGTATAATTCAAGGAATTAATCAAAGATCCTTTATCATATTATACAGTGATGGTATTCCAAATGTGTAAATAGACTTTTTTGACAGCAAAATGAATCAAAAGTCAAAACCAAATTATACAAAATTTTGTTGATTTAGATCAATATTGAACTTTAAAACATACACCGATCATATAAAGTGAAATAACAAAGAAGAAACTCCATCATGGAAAAGAAGTAATACATGTTTTATGCTTGTTTTCTTATTCATATATATTGTTATGTAAAATGATACTTGTAAATTTGCTAAATAGAATATGTTTAAACTAAACTCTCTATACTTAATACTAGTTCTCTGAAAATTATAATGGTGTTTCAATGCAGAAATGATCATCGTAATTTAAATATTTTCTGAGGTATTTGAATTATTATGAATTCCAACATTGTAATTTTCAAGTCTTCAACTGATTTATTTTATTGTTTTTAAAATATTCATCATGCAAAATTAAATTTAGATTCATCAAAGGGAGATTAATACAAAATGACACCAGTCAGAGTAATGCTTCTTGGATCTAACACTATTTTCAGTTCATTAAGTTATAAAAAGAGAAATTAACATACAGTTCTTAGACTGAATTTAGTTGTCATATATCTGAACTTTTACAGTTAAACATATGATTCAGACAAATTAAATTCATTAATTTAGCAAAGTGAAGTAAATTACATGTTTTAAAAATTCAGACCAAGAAGACTTACACCTATTTTAAATGATGTACTTCTAGTCAATCTACTGTTTCAAAATTAAATAAAGTCACAAAAAGGGAGATAATTATAAAAATGTAACCAAGAAGAGTTAGTTAATTCTCCTAATTGCCATCTATCAATACTTTTAGTTTAAAATCTATGTAACTGTTGTTTAACTTCAAATCCAGAAATGAAAATTGCAAAAATAAATATCATTGAAAAATGAAACCCAGGTACATGTAGTATATTTTTCGTTTTGGGTGTTCTTTAGGAATTCTTTTTTCCTCTTGTTAATCGGAATGTCAGTTCTTCTTGTAGTTGCTATGTGTCTACTTTGTATGTTTCAAACCAAGAGTAATGCTTACAAAAAAAGGCAATTCCTTGAATAGTTCAGAGTTATCTACCCTGCAAGAAAATTGCAACGGAATTGCAAAAAATATGGGACCAGTTATAGTTCTTTGACACTGATTTTCTTCTAAAAGATGGATTCCGGAACTCTGCAAATGTGGGTTTTTCCAAGCTTATCCCCAGGTACAACAAACTTTTACCATATTAGCTTCATAGTGCACTGTAACTGGTCACGATAGATAAGTTAATCTGTTGCAGTAAATTTCGAAGCTGTAACTGTAAAAGTTGGTTTGTACCCCCAGATTAGCTGGAAAAAACCTAAAATATTCTTATCTAATTATGGCGGAGTAAATCAGTCGCCATCTATAAATATTTATTGGTAAATGTTAATGCCTTGAATAGTATTTGAGTTAACTTTTGGGCAAGAAAATTGCCAAAAAAATGTGGGCATGATAGCCCTGCATCACTCACTAGAAAAGACGATCTTATGATTTGGTTTGGTTTGTTTGTTTTACACAACACATTAGCACACGAACACAGAATAGGTCATATGGTGCCAAAACAGGAAAGATCATTTTGGCTAACCTCTGGTGTAACAAAATTCAAAGCAACACCAGGGGTCAAAACCACCTCACCTGCTGCTCTTACCATCTAATGATGCTTCAGACCAAGTTTAGTGATAATCAGTCCATTAGTTTATGACAAACAGTAAAAAGGCTTTTCTATTTTTAGCTTGGCTATTTTCAAAATAATCGAGCTAATGCAGTCACCCATTTGTCGGTGTCCCTGTGATTAAGTTTTTACGTGTAAGCTGGTATCTCCACAACTACTGAAGGGAATGGATGGAAACTTCACACATTTGTTCTCTAGGATTATCTAATATGATTGGCACAAGTCCCATAACCCTGATTAGCTTTTTTGCATATTTATGCCCCTTTTTGACTTAAAAATTCTTGGCTCAGTTTTTGTGTGTAAACTGGTATCTCCATAACTACTGAAGGGTTTGTGCCTTATTTTGTGACAATTTTATGCATTCGTAATAATCAAGCAGTGATTAACTCAATAAAACATCCTTATTACATGTACAAGCCTTTGTACCTTTTTAGGACAATTTTATGTATTTATATAGGTAAGCAATGAAACAGCTTTGTGACAACTCTTTCAAATAGTTGAGTGTTGCTGTCCTCCAACAGCTCTTGTTAGCTCTGGGGACTTCTAGAAGGGGCAATATATATTTATTTGAGAAAACTTGAGAGAGGACCACCGAAGGATACCACGATCGTCAATGAGATATCATTAGGTTTGATTTTATTTTAAGCTCTGTTGACCCTTAAAATGGGTCACTTGGTATAAAATATGCAAAGTAACAATAAATTCATTAAAGAAATATAATGAAATACATGTAACTCCTGTGTATGTGTCAACAGAAATACATTTGTATACTTGTTACCACTATTACAAAACCACAAAATGTGACAAATACAAAAGCAAGAAAGGATATTGTCTGTTACAGGGAATATTTCGTGTCCAGTCATCAATCAAGGTATGTGGGCAATTCACCAATGACATTTTATTTACATGGGCCTGACTTGGCATACCCTGTAACATACTATTTTAGGCGTGTGACTTGACCTTTGAGGTAGGGGTCTAGGTGTTGCGCATGACTGTCATCTTATTATTGTTAACATTTGTGCAAAGTTATTTTAAAATCCCTTGATTAATGAAAAAGTTATATACCTCACACAAAATATACTCAAGAACAGACCAAACTTTAAGCTTTGGCACTTTGTGTGACCTTGACATTGAGGATAGGATTCTGGCTTTGCATATGACACATGATCCCATTATTGTGAACATTTTTGCAAAGTTATTTAAAAATCCCTTTAACAATAAAAAAAAATGATGGACTGCACACAAACTATACCCTATAAAAGACCATGTTAAGCTTTGACCTCTAAGTGTGGCCTTGACCTTAGGAAAATGGTCCAGGTGTTGTGCATGACACAGTCTTATTATTGTCAACATTTGTGCCAAATAATTTTAAAATCCCTTGATAGATGAAAAATTATGGACCAGACACCACAAATAGCCCTGAATAGATGATGTTGACCTTTTATCACCAAGTGTGACCTTGACATTGAGGATAGGATTCTGGCTTTGCATATGACACATGATCCCATTATTGTGAACATTTTTGCAAAGTAATTTAAAAATCCCTTTAACAATAAAAAAAAATGATGGACTGCACCTTGCGCAAAACATATCATCTTATTATTGTGAACATTTGTGCAAAATAATTTCAAAATCCCTTGATATATGAAGAAGTTATGGACCAGCCTGTAACAGACTATGTTAATCTTTGATCTCCAACTGTGATCTTGACCTTGAAGGAAGAAGACTGGTTTTGCACTTGACACATTGTCTCATTATTGTGAACAATTTTGCTAAGTATTTTCAAAATGCCTTCATGGTTAAGAAAGTTATGGACTGAACACCACATATACTCTCAAATAGACAATGTTCTCCTTAAATCACCCAGTGTGACCTTGACCTTGGAGTTAGGGGTCCGGTTGTTGCACATGACACATCGTCTTATTATAACAAACATTTGTGCAAAGTTATTTCAAATTCCACTGATAAATGACATCGTAATCGACCAGACATGAAAGTATGACTGATGGACAGACGGAGCCTTTTTCTATATCCCCCTTTTTTCTTCAAACAGGCAGGGTAAAATTAGAATTGAGGGACGTCTCTCCAGTGTAATGTAGCTTCAGAGAGAACCATAGTTGATGCAGGACAACAAAGACCGACACTAAAGTATTCACCGTTGTTTTTATAGCTCACCTAGAAACTTTGGTCCTATGGAGCTGAACATTAGACTGTATAAGCGTAATAGCTCTTTCACTCTATATCCGACATAGTCACAATGTATCTATACTTTAAGTTGATCCCTTAAATGAGCCGCATCACGACAAAACCAATGTAATGCGTTTGCGACCAGCATGGATCCAGACCAGCCTGCGCACCCGCGCAGTCTGATCAGGGTCCATGCTGTTCACTATCAGTTTCTCTACTTGTTATAGAGTTTGTAAGCGAATAGTTAGGTTCCTGACATGAAATATGCAACAGACTAACAACACAACCACATAGTGACTATTGTATACTCTATAAATGTCTGTGATAAATATGACATATTTATGGGGCAGATTGTAATTGTTGAATTTATGGTGACACGATGTTTAAGTTAATAATTAAGAATATTTCCAAGCTTTAGTGGTACAAGATGAGCCCAACTCTCCATTACTAGTATCAGATACTATTAGAGATAACAGTATTATACATGTAACCACAATTCATCTGTAAGCTATCTAGACAACTGTCTTACAAGAATAAATGCACTATTCCTTGTGTGGTATTCAAACTGACATTGGATGATATGGAAGATATTTAGTCGACCAATAAAATAAACAAACTTCTTGCTGTCTTTACAATTTATTAAGGTTTTTTTTGTATAAATTGCAGAATATTATTTATTCTAAATAATTCATGATTGCATAACAAAGTAATCATATGCAAAAAAGTATATAAAACCAAATAATGTATACACCATAGACACATATATTCTAAACTCCTATACAAACTAACATGTCTTTATATAACAACTTTCATATATAACAAAATACATTTATACATGCATAAGAATATATAATATGTTTAGTTAAATTCACCATGACCTTTCCAAACAAAGGTCACACACAGCTTTATTCAAAATAATTATTTATAGCATAACTAAGAATTTTTATTTATAGCAAAACAGACTAATACTGTGTGGTTTGCAATTAAGTTGAGCTTTAATCTAGTGAACTTTTTGCTATAGGGTCCTCCAAAAAATTAGTATCAACCTGTTTGTGTATACCACATTTAAATCATGATTATTTGCAATGTCATTCAGGTGTAACTTTATATATAAGGAAACCATGTATATGTTTTGTTTAAAAAAAGCCCACCTAGGAAATTGTATTGTTTCTATATAGCAAGTTTTTAGCACTTAGGATACTAGGAGTTAAAAGTAATAGAAAGAGTATCAAATCAACAAGGTGATCTGAGTTGTATGTGAATAGGTCATGGCAAAATTCACCTCTAATTTACAAATGTAACTGAATTCAATAATTCATGTACAAACATACACTCTTGCAATGAGTGTCTTAAAGCTAAGAAATATGAAGGAAATATATATTTATACATGTACATTAAATAGCAACTTTTTTAAGCTTTCTACAATAAATCTACAAACCTCTTTCACTGTAAAATATATACTTTAAAAAAATCTTGCATTTTTATCAAGATAAAATCCATACAATTAAACACATTGTATTGTAATTAAGGAAACAAATCATTGAGAAAAAGTGTATCAAGTTACTTGTTGGATCTGTCTTTCCTACTTTGAATTATTTGTCATTATCCATTTTTATCTCTGCAGTTTTAGAAAAAGAAAATATTTAGGATTTTAAAATTGAATATATGTTTCAAATAAATAAAAAAATTCCCCCCACCCCATCCACCTAAATCAGACACAACATTTTCAGTAATAAAAATCACAAGCAAACTGCCAACCTTATTTTTTACATTGCTATAGTGAATACTGGTCGGGCAAGAGCAAAAACAAACTGATGATGACAACATTAAAGTCAGCTAAATACTTACAGAGCTCAATATTTACATAAAAAGGTGAATTTTGATACTTCTAACAAAATGAGTTACAAACACGAAAATATGTGTGTGCGTGTGTGTGTTTGTGTGTATATCATATACACAACAAACAAATAAGTACAAAGCTTACATAAGGACATGACCTTATACTAGTACCTTCATTGTAATGCAATTACAGTGAATGAAATTTCTATTCTTTTATCATTATAGTAAAAACTTCATATTATCCCAACAGTTTTCCAAAAATAAAACATAAATTATAAAGTATTTTTTACCAAGCACAAATAAAAATCTGAAAAAAGTTTAAATTACCAGTTCAGTCATGCATATAATTATAACATCATTGTCTAAGTCCTATGAAAAATTTAAGACTGACAATATTCCTATGTATTGAGGAGATAAATTTTACTACAGAAGCCATTTAGGGCCGTGTTCATAACAGATAAATTTTACTACGGAAGCCATTTAGGGCCATGTTCATAAACTTTGAAAGCAGGAAGGCGCCATGTCCACTGGCAGGCAAGTCTAGAATCGTCTGCTCACAAATGTGTCTATAATTAAAATTTACATGTTGCTATGGCAATCTTCATGAGAAGGTTTAAAAACAAACTTGTATTTCTACAGCTGACAAGATTGTGACAGCATTGTGAGTCCTTATATTAACACTTTGATAAATTTTATAAAAAAAAACAGTTGTATGATAAAACATGCAAGGTAATAGTAAAAAATAATCATGAAAAAAATGGCTAAATAGCTACTAAACTAGAAAAATTGAAAGACACTGCGGTAAATATATGTACAAGTAACATATAGCCAAAACACACTAAACAGCACTAAGATGAACTTGTGATAATGTACAACATGTCTAATACATTTATATTTCTGTACAATGTACATGTCTGATACATCCATATTTCTCAAGTAAAAATCTAACATTTCTATTTTGGGTAAGAATGCAAAGCTACTATTGTGTTAATAAACCTCAGCTTCAGCCAAATGTGTAGAAACTTATTTTTTTCATACTTTAGACAAACCATACAACTTTCATAACATTTTTATCAAATTTCCACACAATTCTCTAATGTCCATGACACATCTTTAAAAACATTAAATGACTTTTGTATTTTTCACAGACAAATGAAGCCCTGAAATTGCATATGTTGATTTAGCAAAACACAAAAAGGTGAATAATTACACATTTAATACATGATAAAATACAGATTATATTAAATCAATTGTCCAACAAAAATGATAACAAAAAAAGTAAAAAAAACTCCTCAATGACGAAAAACAAAATAAACATTCATTTTAAGTTTTCATTGGTGCACCAACAAATTGTACGACATATTCACTAACCAAGCTCAAGGTTATTCATAAAACCAAGGTCAATGTCATTCACAAAATTTAAGTAAAAAAGGTCAATTTTATTCACTAAAGGTCATCAAGAAGAGGTCAAGGCTAAATTTTATTGATACGAATAAAGCATTTGTTAAAATAACAACCAATAACCATTGAATAGTGACCAATTCACTAGTTTTCATGTTCTTAACATTGCTTGAGAATGACACTTGACATTATGAGTCTTAAGGCAATGTTAAGTTTTTACACTAAGTCACCTTTATGCAAAAGAAACGGAGCAAATGTGCTAGTTTGCCTGCAGTAAAAATTGTCCTTTACAAATGCACCTGTCTGTTTCAAGATGCTTAATAATAATTAATTAAAAAAAAATCCACAAAACAAATGGGTGAAAATGAGCTGTATATACAGAATGGAAAAAAAAAGGTTAGAATTTCAAAGCTCCATGGTGATAAAAAAATGCTTGTCCTTATTTTACGTGTAAAAAAGAAATAAAAAAAAAATGAAATCTCAAATCTGCACAAATACATGCATTTGTCACAATATAGAATACAAATGAGCCGCGTCACGACAAAACCAACTTAGTGGGTTTGCGACCAGCATGGATCCATGGATGTCAGTTACTCCACTTGTTATTAGAGTTGGTAAGTGAACAGCATGGATCCTGATCAGACTGCACGGAAGCGCAGGCTGGTCTGGATCCATGCTGGTCGCAAACCCATGTTGGTTTTGTCGTGAGGCGGCTCAAATTTGTTTTGGTTTATATATCCAGGGTTCCCGCTGTCGCTCGCCAATGGCGCCAAATGCGACAAAATATTAATTCTGGCGCATAAAATCTTTAATTGGCGAATTTAACTGGCGCCAACGTAAGATAAAAGCATCCGACAACTAGTACACTTAAATGTCATAAGCGGCCGCGTCAATTACATAAGCGGCCCAAATGTGAAAGGTCACGCGCTATTAGTTTGTTTATCGGTACCGTATAATCAATTATGTCATCAATTGTGTGACACTTTGGGAACATGTGAAGATGAGAGTGGCAATTTGTTAATTGGAACAATTTACGACTTGGAGCACTGATAATTACATGTGTGGTCAACAGGTGTTAGTAGCTGACAGAGAAGCGAAAGATCGTCCGTGATGTTGACAAACATTGAACTTTAGGTAAGTTGACTCAAATAATTACAGTTTGAATATTAAATCGGATGACAATTAAAAGAATAATTTCACTAATGATTGATCTAAAGCCACTGTTACTGCAATGTTAATATTTTCATATCTGATTGTAAAGGGCTGAAGTGTCTATTCATATGCAAACCCTATTAAAATAAACAATATTTTTCATTGTTAAAAATACTTAGTATCTATTTCATATTTTGTTCTCATTGATTTTTAGATGAAGTCAATTTATAGTAATGTTTTTTTTTTATTTTGTATCTGTAGATCACCAGATTGTCGGGTAGAAGCTGGGAAAGATCTTGGCTCAGTCCAGCCTGTGAGAAGAACTGCTATACTGGCAAAACGGTGGAAAACACGATGACTAACTTAACATGATGTTCTTGATTACATTTATGCTGTCATGTATATTTATTTAAATAGAATTTGAAAACCACATAATAGTATGTCTATATTTTAGATAACAAACATGTACAGCTGTAATAAAATGAAATATTATAAATATGTGTTTGTAATCATAATGATATATAACTGCTAGCATATGTTAGCAAATATAGGCATGTCTCCCTTGCAGAATTATTGGCTCCAACTTTGGAGCCATTGGCTCCAACTTTTTCTGATTGGCGAATTTGGTGGCGCAAACCAATTTTGACCCAGAGGGAACCCTGTATATCTATCTGACAAGCACATGGCTACCTAATTATATGTATTAATTTACATTTAATGTTATCATCTTACAATAACTCAAATCATATGTCACATGTACCTTAATCTATTTGAAAAAAAAAGTAAAAGAAAATGAGCATCAAATAATGTGATACTGTAAAAAATGAAGGCATCTTGTGTTGGTATAAACAATCGAGAAAACCTTTAAACAATTAAAAAAATATCAATGAAACAATGTTCTAAAATTCACACACCTTTAAACCCCTTAAATCTTAAAAAATTTTCTTCAAACAAAAAATACAATTATTACATAATTAATCAATATAAAGAAAAAAAACAACCTGACAACATCTGAACTGAAATCACAGTTAAAATATGACATTCTCCATGAACACATGACACACTTGCCAAATTTTATCTCTCTAAATAATTTTTTGATATATATCTGGAAACTTTTGCAAAAGATCTTGAGAAAATACAAACATCTTGGAAAAAAGCTTACAAATAAAGAGGTAAATATAATAAGATCAGTCTATAATTTTTGCTTTCCTGCCATTGGTCAATTTAAAAATTTTAAATCAGAGTTAACCAATCAGATACATCATTTTATAGACTGGTCTCCTGTCACAAGTTTTAGATTAAACTTAAGGGCCCAACGAATGCGCTTGTATAATGTTTTAACCTTTTTTCTATCTTTTTTTTAGAAAAAGCATGCCCATACCATAATCTTGTTGAGTCAGATCAGTCCACAAACATGTACCGGTATCTCTGTCTTTTATGTCAATTTCTTTTATTAATTTCCTATGACATACAACATACTAGTTACAACCACTTTGCTAAAAATCCTCAATTTCTATGTTCAGACTGGACTCAAAACTGTCGTCTGCTTTCTCTGAAGTGTTTTGATCTTGATATCCTTGAATATTTTATAATAAAATAGACTGTATTCCTTTCTTATCAATAAAATGGACTGTATCCCTTTCTTATCATCACACATACATTAAATGAAAACCAGTGAAGAAGTCATCTCCAAACTAAAAACATTTAATAATTAACAAAAACCCAAAAAACATCAGGTTATTTCTACTTTACTAACCTATATTCTTATGTCACTTACGTAAAAATGGTGTATATCTTTATCATTTCATATGTTATGCGACTTTAAAGAATAATTTACAAACATGACAATATTTAATGAATAAATCTATTCTAGCATCAGCAGTATATTAAGATAGCTTTATATTTTATAATGCTTGTTATATACAAAGGTAACTATGGCAACAAGATAATGATATGACATTGAAGCATTCTTTAAAAGAAAGAAAAAAAACGCCAAGAAACTTTTTCATAAATATGGTCGCAAAAAAAGGTTTTACACGTTCTTCAGTATAGAAAATAATAATAAATTGATTTATAGTAGCCCTATTCATCTATCTATCTCTTTGGCAAGTTAAATATTACTTACATAATACAATAAATATAAATCTTTTTTATAATAAAGTTTGCAAATTCTACGGTTTCATTCTGCATGCGTTCATTATGTTCATACATGTGAACTCTCCCACTTTTAGCGGGAGACTCCCACTTTCTGCAGCTATATTTTCAAAGATTTTTCATAAAATAAGGGGTATTTTCATTAATAAAAGAAATCTCCTTTTTGGTGTCAGAACTTCCTTCTTTGTTTATTGCAAATTCAAAAATTTCCCTCTTTTTGAAGAAAAATCTCCCACTTGAGAATCGAAAAAAGTTCAAATGTATGTATGTTCTGTTTAAGGGTATAACCAATGTTGAATCTAAACACTTGACATGCGTAACTCAACCTTTGTTATTTCTAAAATACTGTTTTTCTTTCCTAAAAATTGACTTCACATTGAAAACAATTAATAAAGAGCTAAAAATGGTTTAAAAAAGATATAAATGAAAATTGTAATGCAATAAAATGGCACTCTTTCTACAATGAAACAGCTCGTGTAGAAGAAGAATGATATATATCTGACCATCAGATTATACAAAAAATCATGTTTTCCTTTAAATATCAACAAGAATAGCAGATGTATTAAGGACACATATTTTCTTCTACTACTATAAAGAACTATCAAGAAACTTTATCCTTGGTACAATTTGCCATACAGTTAATGCAGTTTCCCATCTTGTACACACAATCTGTCAACAACTTCAACACATATGCATAATTTATGTATGTCTATATGTCTGGTTCCATTGTAAACACATTAACATAAAAAAACAGGCTTAGACATATGTGTACGAACTACCACAAATATTCTGGACACTATATTATTCCCGTGGTCAGCAGTACGCCTCACCAGTCATTGCTAAATGGACTTGTTCCAACTTATAGTTGAGTCTATTTTTTCGCGCAAACTCGTCCTCATCTAGCGCACTAATGAGATCCTCGTGATAGTGTTGTACGTATTTATACAGTTCATACAACGCTGCGTTCATGTTGAACTCATCCTGATGTGTCTGTAAAAACAAAAAATAAAATATAATTAGGACCCTTTAAATTACAGTACAACCTCTGTAGAGTATCCCTCTGTCAAACCAGCATCCCTCCGTCGAACCAGCATCCCTCTGTCAAACCAGCATCCCTCTGTCAAACCAGCATCCCTCTGTCAAACCAGCATCCCTCTGTCAAACCAGCATCCCTCTGTCGACCAGCATCCCTCTGTCGAACCAGCATCCCTCTGTCAAACCAGCATCCCTCTGTCAAACCACTACCTCTTTACAACAACTGTTTATTTTTCATCAAAGCAACATTTCAAAACAGATTTAACCTCTCTAGACAAACACCTGTCAACAACAACCACATTTTTTGGCCTTATAAAGGTTGTTAGTCTGCACAGGTTGTACTGTATATGTCTATGACTTACTTCTCTGTGTTCAAAATGAACACACATTTGTAAAACATAAAACACCAAGAGAAATATTTATAGTATGAAACCCACCTTATTCAGGCAAAAATCTGAACTTGTAATTTTAATAACATTTACATTTCAAAATTCAATCCATGTAGTTATCTAGTAGCAAAAAAGTTATTATCATGCATCGTTTTTTACTAAAAAAATTTTGACAAAGCAACAGTGAAAAGTATTAACACTCCACCTTATAATTTAAGAAATAGTCATGCTTTAAAATATAAGAAAAAATTAAACCAATTTATCAAACCAAGAATAGGTAGCATCTGAGTGCAACACTAGTATGACTGCATATAGATAAATGCAATAGTCTAGATTGGTGACAACAAATAAATGTATAACCATTATTATTGCATTATAGTTTTTTTGTTGTTGTTTTTTTTTATGAAAAAAATTCCTGTCAACCGCAGTTACAAACTTGCAAAAAAACATTATTAAGAACAGTGACAATTATATGATGTTACATACCCTTGATTCATCGGCCATCATGGCCGTCATATCTTGATCGCTTATGGCCGGCATCATTTTGATGTCTTGATAATACCTTTAATACAATAATATTAAATTAGAAAATATATAGAAAGCCAAATGTGACATATCCCTACAGTATTCACACAATTTTCATAAATCATGTTTATTTCCATGCATCATACAAGTCTAAAATGAATTTTCTTGCTGTTTCAAGTCATAATGACAATATGTAAATGTTATATGGTAAGTCATGCATATATTGCCATTTTAAAGACCTCCTATAGCCGGCATCAAACAATCGGGCATGTGAGTAGAACCAAAAACTGTAAGTTCTACTAGTTAGCTGGGTAGCTTAATAGCTTCCTCACATGAAAAAAAAAATCCAAGTTTGAACTGACTTAGAGAAGTGGCAACTGATTATAAGTCAGCAGCCTTAACCACTTGACCATGAAGGCCCAAGGTTTTGTTAAAATCAAGTTAAAATAAACTATAGTTTAAAACTTTACAGTAATATTAGAAAGAATTAACCTACCTCTCAACCCATCTCTTATAGGTTGGTATATCTTTGGCATATAACAGTTTACTAGAGGGGGAATCTTTTCCTAATTTATGCTCGCTCATTGAGCACGAGTCCATAAAGTTTTGAGCAACTACTGACAAGCATGAGTCGACGATGTTTGATTTATATATATCAAACACAAAGTTGGGATTCTTTATCACGTTTACCCAAAAACGTAGTGGAAGACTGCAAAATAAACAAAATGGTTTTCAATATCACAGACAACACATCTTTGATGTACTTATCTTCAATGGTATCAAAATTACTATTATTAGAGTCAGACATGTATATAGTAACATAATACGAAAAATTTTTCCATTGCATTTATTTTACAATAACAGGTTTTTCTGTAAAATACAACATATCAGTCGCAATGAACGTTACGATAACGGGTTTTTCCTTAAAATTCAACATATCAGTCGCAATGTAACGTGACAGAAAATATGTCTCAATAAAACCATAAAAACTTTAATAATTATTTACGTTAACAACAATGTATACTTTTTTCCTACAAAAATACACTTTTCAAATGACAACAAGCAATTCACTAATTTAATGACTGCGAAATATTATTTCAAATATAAGACCCAAAAAACTTGAATGACAAAATTAAATACAATCATTTTATCTTGAAATAACTGAAATCTGTTTAAATATTTTACCTATTGGATTTCCATGTATGCACAACATCTTGGTCCTGAACACCATGTAACAATGCCTGATCATCAAGGAAATCAAACATGTATTTGATCGCTAACGGCAACGACGTACCTCTATGAACGGTACTAAAGATTCTCTCAAACAAATCATCTACAAACTGTTGCAATGTGCCCTGGAGAAAAAAAAAAGCAAATAAAATTTCATCATTATAAATACTTCCAAGATAATGATAACTTGCTTGAATGCCAATCTCTCAAAATGACATATAACAATATTGTCACCTTAGTGCAGTAACAGGTTAACTCCTAATATAATATAATATAATAAGAGTTAACCCATTACTGCACTAAGTTGATGATATCATAATTGGTTAATTGACAAATTAACTTTACCCTCTCAGACATAATCACAATAATCTTAAAAAAATCTGCACGAGTTTTCCATGCTTTATTCCAGAGAGTAACATTACTTTGGGAAGATTTTATCAACTCCCATAAAAAATAAAAAAAAAACCCATCAAAAACATAACAGAATTTTCATACAAGTATGGATATAACAAAATGGATAACGAATCTAACTTGATAGTCAAATATGATCCCAGATTGTGTATGAAATGCTTGATTCATCAATTTATCTATTAATAATGTACAGACTTTATAAACATTAGAACAAATGTCCCAATAAAAGGCAATGTAGCCACTAATTACAGCAAACTGTATATTACAAGCACTTTAAAATAATGTAGGAGTTACAGTTTTTATATCACTCTTCTGTTTCAGACATATATTATTTTTGACACACAAAAAGAGCAGATTCCAATCTTTTTAAAGAACATGATCTGGTACAGATATATTATCTAGTGACAACCAGTATAGCCTTGTACATTCTTTGCCATTATCACTGTATCAAATACTGCAACATCATTATCATTTGTGGGGAACTAATTTTCATGTTTTTTGTGGAAAGGTCAATCCTCAAATTTGAGATACAACAAAATTTCATTATTTACATTTTGCATAAATGGAAAAATAAACATTCCACTAATTTAAAACACACAAAAAAGTTCTTTGTGACAGAACCCCCAAATTTCATGCCCATGAAATTTCATGAATTCACAGTAATCAAAAATTTTGAAGATCTTTTCTTTATGTGCTTGTATTTATGTATTGTGTGATAAAATAAATGTTACCTTTGTTGCTAGCAGTCTGGTGAGATAGATCTCTGACACCATCTTACTTCCACGATCTCCTTCCTTTGCATTATCTTGATCATGTTGTCTAACCTTTAATACACAATATTTCAATATTTATTTCATTTTTTTTTGGAGGTAAATCATCTAAAGAAGTCAGATTATTGAAAGCCCTAAGCAAAATACAGCATGTTATAATGCCTTAAAAGAAGTTGTATATTATCAGCAATCTCTTTGCAAGTTTTATGCGACCTCTGCATAGAGACCCTTTATAGAGCAGTAACCTCTTTAGAACAGTATCAATTCTTTACAAATTAAGATTGCATAATAAATATGACTACTCTACAGCAATACCTCTCAGATAAAAACCAAAATTGTTTGTCTTGGAATGGGTGTTGCTATGCAGAGGTTATACTATATCATTATTTGAAAAAAAAAAAAAGGTTTCCGTGTAGCGATTAATCTGTTTATGAAAAATCGTCAGGCATACTGACCACTTAATGAGTAGTTTTTTTAAGTGTGACATAAAATTTTGTTGTTAAGTGTGACACTGATGTTTCAGAGCACTGTCATAATAGGCGAGCAGTGAGTGTGAAACTCAGATTTTTTTAAGTGAAGTGTGGCACTGAAAGATTTTACAGCAAAGTGTGACATTCAATTTTCAAAGGTAGTTGTGATACTTAAATTCCCTGTTACATCATGTTTTCACTGTTACCAGTTTTTATAGCGATTTGACACCATTCAGACGTGACAGTTAGTTTTTTTGCACACTAATGAAATCTACGAATCAAATAAATAAGAGAATAACTTACAAGATGGTAATATTTGGTTCCACCATTATTACTAGAGTTTTCTATATCTATATGAACATTCTGTGGTGATGCTGTCCTATTGAGGGAGGGACTTCTACCACTATATATCACACTGCCATCTGAAATATGATTGAACAATATTAGCAAATATCGTAACTTATTAAATAATCACTGTGCATTATCTTGATACATCATTGCATAATATAACCCATTTGAGAGAAGTTCATAACTTATTTAAGGAACCATCAGGCACTGAAGTACAACCACTTACCATATATACCTCCTTTACAAATTTTAATGATTCAAAATCTCTTAGTAGATTCAAACCACAGAGGCCACGTTCCCATTCTACAAACTCACTGATTTCATAACAGATAAATATCAATTAAGTAACAGTCAGTTACAATATTTTTTTGTTTCAGACAATCTATTCATTTGGTTTGGTTTTACAGCACACCAACAAAATTTAGGTCATATGGCACCGAAACAGGTAAGATGATTTTGGCTAACCATAGGTGTTACAAACTTAAAGCAACATCAGGGTTCAAAACCACCTCACCTGCTGAACCTAAGAGATGCTAAGAGATGCGTAATTTATATTCCAGTAATTTGAACCCATTTAGTCCCCTCTTACAATCATGCAGGGTTAAACGGTGGCTGAAATTCTAATGCCTCAACCAATAAAGGTAACCCTTCAGCCACAACAGGCATTCAATTACAATATGAGCATGTTGAAGAGAAAAGTAGTTGATAATTAATAAGACAAAGTATCTGATTAATATAGAGATGTATAAGAACATTCAGCATTATTGTATTAGTAAAGTCTTTGAAGCATAACATAATGTTAGTATGTACAGTAATAATAGACAACATTCACAAAGACCCTGTCAACATCACAACTATGAACATTTGCAACAGAACTAATAACTGTTAGTATATCTGAGTGAACAATGAATTGTTATAACAAGAACCAGCCCCACTTATCTCCTAATATACATTTAGCAATAAGAAAGTGGTTCTATAATAAAGTAATTAAATTTATCTCAAATACAAACAGATGAAGCTAGAGAGACTGGGTAGTAAGATAAAGTTTTCAATGACATCATAGTAAAGCATGTAGATGAGCATAATTAAAACCCATTCACGATATAGGTCTGAAGTTTTAATGCAAAGAACCAAGATAAAAAAAGAAGAAGAAAATGTTAGTTTCTGTGATAAGTCATTCCTTATTCAATTTTTAGCACATTGTGATGTGAAAATATATCAAGCACTCATTTGATGAGCTTACAAAAATCATGTTAATTTTTTTTCCCAATTTTCATCATAATTGGCCAATATTTATCATAACTGTGTAATATCTATCATATATGGCCAATATTTACCAAAACTGGCCAATATTCATCATAACTGGCTAATATCTATCATAATTGGCCAATATTCCCCATAATTGGCTAATATTCATCATAACTGGCTAATATCTATCATAATTGGCTAATATTCCCCATAATTGGCTAATATTCATCAAAACTGGCTAATATCTATCATAATTGGCCAATATTCCCCATAATTGGCTAAGATTCATCATAATTGGCCAATGTTCAACATAATTGGCTTATATCTATGAATTTCAAAATGTACTTCAAAGCATGAGTTCATGCCAAGTGTGAACAGGGTCTTACATTCCTCTTTACCGAAACGTTTGTAATCGAAGCTCTTGGAAGACTTTTCTGACGTTGTGGACAGATCGTATATAGAAGGCGTCTGTTTAGGCACCAATGCCATACATGCACCATCCGGTACCTGTAACATATTACAATATGGAACTTTACAATAATTATAGAAATTTGTCATATATAATTTACAAAGTCAATAACTTTCTCGCTGATTTTGTATAGGTTTTTTGAGTTTTGGATTACTATGTGAGCAGGTAAGTATGATAGTTAGGTTTAACGTATCACATCAACACTGTAAAGGTCATTCTGCGACTTTTTATAGCTTTACTGCTGGAGGAAGACTTCAGGTGTCCCTCTGTGCATTATTTTAGGCACAATCACATACCTAAGTAAAACCAACGATTTACCATCAGCTAGCTGGATAGATTCCTCACATGAAAAGAATCCAAACTCCAGGCAAGAATCAAACACCCAGCAGTGAGAGGCAAGCAGTTTGCAGTCAATGACCAAAACCATTTTGTCACAGATGGTCCAGTGTAAGCATGTTACAGCAGTCTTAAGTCACACTGGTTGCTATTACCTCTGTTTTTATTTTATATCAAAGATATGATCCTCAAGACTATAGTCAATTATCCTAACATACTGGCCTCCCTTACAATGATATTTCTGTAGCTAAAATTTATCAACTGTAGATTTGTTTGAATATACAAAATTAACAATGCAACAAGTATAATCTAAACATTATAACACATTGGAAAATGTTTAACTTAGTAAAGAAAAGTATTTACAAGGCACTGTACTTTACTTCCATTTTTTTCGCCAGTTTTCATGTTTCTTATTTAACAAAGAAATTATTTATAAGGAAGAACATTGTATAGACTTTTACCTGATAATGGCCTAATGTGTTCATTTTTTTAAATTCACCCTCCAGTTTAGTAGTGTTATCAACGTTACATAAGATCATCTTCTGTGTATTTTGGTCCCACTCTGACTCTGGCTTAGCAGATTGAGCAAACAATACTGAAAGACGAAATATATAAATCATCACTAAATCTTTACATACATGTAAACAAGAGGGCCATGATGGCCCTGAAGTCGCTCACCTGTATATAGGCCCCCAGAGCGGGGCCAGTTTAAACCCCAGGGCTTTTATTTGAACAAACTTGGTAGACACCCATTAGAAGATATTTCACGCTAAACATCTAAGGTCTAGCTCGTTGAGTTTTTTAGAAAAAGATTTTTTAAGTTTTAACTATACACATATAGTTAAAAGCAATGACACCCCTAGGGAGGGGCCAGTTTTGACCCCAGGGCTTTTATTTGAACAAACTTTGGAGACACTCACTAGAAGATGTTTCATGCTTGATATCTAAACTCTAGCTATTCGGTTTTTTTTTAAAGAAGATTTTTAAGTTTTTGCTATACACATATAAGGAAAATCAATGTCCCCTGGGGCAGGGCCAATTTTGACGCTAGGGCTTTATTTGAACAAACTTTGAAGACACTAACTGGAAGATGTTTCATGCTAAATATCTTAACTCTAGCTATTTGGGTTTTTTCAAAGAAGATTTTATAAGTTTTTGCTATACACATAAATAAAATCAATGACCCCCGGGGCAGGGCCAATTTTGACCCAAGGGCTTTTATTTGAAAAAACTTTGTAGACACTCACTAGAAGATGCTTCATGCTTAGTATCTAAACTCTAGCTATTTGGTTTTTTTTTCAAAGAATTTTTAATTTAAAGTTTTTTACACATATAAAGAAAATCAATGACCTCCGGGGCAGGGCAAATTTTGACCCCAGGGCTCTTATTTGAACAAATTTGGTAGACAACCATTAGAACATGTTTCATGCTAAATATCTTAGCTCTAGCTCTTTGGGTTCTTTAAAAGAAGATTTTTTAAGTTTTTACTATATGCATATAGGGAAAATCAATGACCCCCTGGAGCGGGGCCAATTTTGACCCCAGGGCTTATATTTGAACAAACTTGAAAGACACTCATTAGAAGATGTTTCATGCTAAATATCTTAGCTCTAGCTTCTTGGGTTCTTTAAAAGAAGATTTTATAAGTTTTTACTATATGCATATAGGGAAAATCAATGCCCCCCGGGGCGGGGCCAATTTTGACCCTAGGGCTTTTATTTGAACAAACTTGGTAGACACCTATTAGAAGATGTTTCATGCTAAATATCTTAGCTCTAGCTCTTTGGGTTCTTTAAAAGAAGATTTTATAAGTTTTTACTATATGCATATAGGGAAAACCAATGACCCCCTGGGGCGGGGCCAATTTTGACCCCAGGGCTTTTATTTGAACAAACTTGGTAGACACCCATTAGAACATGTTTCATGCTAAATATCTTAGCTCTAGCTCTTTAGGTTCTTTAAAAGAAGATTCTTTAAGTTTTTACTATATGCATATTGGGAAAATCAATGACCCCCGGGGCGGGGCCAATTTTGACCCGAGGGCTTTTATTTGAACAAACTTGATAGACACTCACTAGAAGATGTTTCATGCCAAATATCTAAGCTCTACCTCTTTGGGTTTTTTAAAAGAAGATATTTTAAGTTTTTTCTATTGGTTGCCATGGCAACCAGAGTTCTGCATGGAATTTAATTCTTTGAACAATTTTTAAAGGTGACCACCAAAGGAACATTCCTGTGAAGTTCGGATGAAATTGGCTCAGCGGTTTATGAGGAGATGTCATTTAAAGTAAAAGTTTACGGCCGGACGCCGGACGGAGGGACGCCGGACGAAAAGCGATCACAAAAGCTCACCCTGTCACTTTGTGACAGGTAAGCTAAAAAACCAAGTATAGCTTAAACATAACAGAGTTGTTCCCCTTACTTCAGTAGCTAAACAAACAAAATATATAAATCTCAACTAATTCTTTAAATAAATACATGTAAAAACCCAAAGTATAGCTTAAACATAACAGAGTTGTCCCCCTTACATCACAAGCACGACTTACATGTAGAATTTATTGTGTTTATCTCTAATCAATTTTTATGCAAAATTTACAGTCATGATCGAAAAAATTAAAAAACAACTTGAAAATGACAAATCTTTTAGTTTATCAATTTAGTTTTGTACCAGTTGCTTACAGTAATCCTGACATTAACTGAAATTAAAAAACCTTCAAGTAAACTGTACACATTACAATGTAAACTGTACTATTCTATAAACGAGTCATTATTTAAGTGTTTGATAACGATGCCTAGAAATATGACTAGAAAAATCATCTTTGATATTTCATCAAATGTCGTAGAAACCCATATGCCTATTCAATGAATTGAAACTGGAAAATTCCTTGGTTCTTTGACTCAAAAAACTCAAAAACTAACTGGACAGGGTAAGAATACTGGTACATGTATATATCAAAGAATTGTTCTTCTAGTTTATATGGCACTTACCCAGATCAACATTTTGTTTAGTAGGCCTGCTACTAAATGGAGCATTCTTGTATATAGCATCTAGTATCTTCTCCTTCACCTGGGTGATTGTGTCACAGTCTAAAACCTTTACAGGGTGTGACTGTTGACCAAACTGCTCCATATCTTGAACATATATGGTCTGCAAAAGAAACAACAACAGATTTTCACATTTAGAATACAGATTTGTCTCGCAAAAATCGTCAAAAATTATCTTTCTAAACCCTTATATTTATCAATAATAACATTATTGCAGGGTTATATTGCTAGTCGGTTTATATAACCAGAGGTGCAAGATGATGGTCTTTCAAATGTATGTTTGTAAAGAATTTATTTTCTGGAAGTCATTCATAGCATTTTCCAAGATATTTGTCTTGTTTCTTATCTGTAAAAATTCTTTATTATTTCGTTCAGTTTATACATTTAAAATATACTAAGATTGAGCAGCTTAATTTAAACCAGGTAATACTCCATGTCTGGAGGCACATATATTTTTCACAAAGACAAATGTACATTTATGAATATAGTGGTATGGGTGGTAACATTGTCATGTAATGTTCCAGCTACTGACTGCTGTGTCAGTGACTATTTATCAAATTATCACAAGCACTGCATCAATCAGTAGACATTAAGAATCACTTCAGACCCTTATCTCAATAATAACTGAAACTTTTGTTTTTCTTCTTCTGATACACTGTCATGGTTCTTTCGGCAGATACAATAATCTTTCCCTACAATAGTTTGTTTTTAATACAGAGCTCAATCATCAAAAGCACCTACCATAGTTTTATAATCTACTTGTTGTCGTATTAGTTTATCTTCACTAAGAGAATATCTAGCTTCTGAAGTTACACTATCTACTGGACCTTTTGACGTCTGCTGCTTAATGGCTTGATATAACATGAACAACGGTTCTCCCGCACACTCCTAAAAACAGAGATAATACAATGCAAGGTAAATATTGTCAACAGTTAAATTTGATCAAGTATTTGTTTGTTTGTTTGGTTTTTACATCAATTTTGACACAATTCTGGTCATATGTTTGCGGTCAATCAACCTAACCAGCTTTCCTTGATACCTAACCACTCCCCCGCAAGTGACCGATTACGAATCCTACATGATTAAATCAAAACATACATGTGCATTGTAGCTATATTAAAAATCTAATGCATAAACCAGAATTAACTTATTAAGCTTTTTAAGTCTATCTCAAGTTTTTCAGTCAAAAAAAAAATAATAAAATACCTAACCATCAGTCTTTCTCCCCCAGGAATTAATCATTACTTATATCAGCTGTCCAGTAAATAAAAGACATCCATCAAATTAGCACAAAAACACAGTGTGCATATTTAGTATGGAACTCAATAGTTATGTCACTGAGGCTTTCCATTACAAAACAATTTAGGCAGATAAGTAAGAAAATATACAGCACAATAGACCATACAAAAAAACCCTCAAAATATCTTTAGAAAAGGTACTAATAATAGAAATAATACATGAAAAACTATTATACAAATATCACTTAATATATATCAAAGGCATCATTTAATATTTGTTCAGACTTACCCTTAAAAACTTATACAGTAAGAATGTAAACCAATTAGTTAACATTTTCTCAGCGACAGATTCTGTACGTCTTAACAACAGTTTAGGATGATTTTTACCCTCTACAGATTTCTCTATAAGTTCTGAAAGCAGTGTCTTTAATATCCTGTAAAATAAAAATTTAAAAGTATTCATAAAGAACTAAAAGTGTTTTTGTTTGTTTGGCTGGATTTTAAGCCACACTAAAAGATCATATGGCAACTTTCCAGCCTCACTGATGGAGGAGGACCTCATGTGCCCCTCTGTGCATATTTCAGGAAGGAGCCGGCACCCAAGTTGACCCACCAACCTTTTGTATGCTAGCTGGACAGCTTCCTTACATAAAAGAGACTGAAGTCTCTTGACAAATTTAAACTTTTAGTAAAAGCGTATAGTTAAAATAAAACAAAAGCTGAAAATAATTTGCATCATTTATCGGTGACAAAGGACCTTCTCGCAGTTAACATTATTCAAGTTTCCATTGCATAACCACTTAGTATAAAATCTGAAAAGATGGCTTGAGAAACATTTATATGAATAAAGTAACAGTAACTCTTCAACATATATACATACTCTGTGGCATATTCCATCCTGGTTTGTAATGCTACAGAAATCAGTGACGCCACATTGACTCTTTCACGCATACTGAATTTTTTGTTGGCTTCTAGTGTACGTACAAATGTTAGAAGGAATGTTCGGTTCCCAATCAGTTGTGAGAATAACTTCAAACCATGCTCAATTTGTTCTCGTTTAGATGGGTCAACCTGTAAATAATGAATATATACATTTAGGTTGTCATTTTATTGTCAAAATGCTAAAGTTACTGATAAGCACACTGGCTGGGTTCTTTATTGTTGGCTGCCAGTATTGAAAAGTAATAGAGTTTAAAATACTGCTGGTCCTGTGTCTTTTATGGTTATATAGAATATAAAAGTAACCTTATTTACATTCAATCTAGGACAAAATCAGCTGTATATTATCAGTAAAACTGGCTTGCTTAATTATTTGCTGACCTTGGGTTAAAAGAAATATACAAGTTTAGATCAATAATCAAGCTCAGATAGGATTGATATTTTATATCTAAGAAATTACTTAAATGTTCAGGCCCTTTTAACATAATAATGTGAAACACTTATAAGGTTTGACCAAATGACCCCCTGTTTAAGCAGTAGACACCTTTACACTTCCACCTCCCCCCTCCCCTAAAAAAACAAAACACAAAGAAATACTGTTCACAGTTTCTTTAACAAAATGCTTTCACATGGGACTTAAAAGTTGATTGACGTCCAATTCTAGCAGATATATTTTGCTCGTTTATATAAAATAGATATATCAATAACCCATATATCAAAATAAGATGAGACTTACATCAAGATCTCTTATAACGGGGTGAGAATCCTCATCCTGGGGGAATAGGACTCTCATACAGTAAGTACGGTAGTCCCAGAACGGGATGGCAATTTGTCCAAAATGATCACTCGTCAATTCTGTCATATCAGTCTGTAGTTCGGCAAAAGCTGAAATATTACAATACCAGTATATATATATATATATCACACACAAAATAGGAATGAATCATGTGAGGAAATGAAAATGTCATATATTACAGAAATAAATTGCTAAATATTAATTTGCTGTGATGCAAATTTCTCTGGAGAAATCATAATTCTCCAAAAGAAAAAAGGAAAAAAGACAGGAAAAAAAACCCCAACTGCATTTAGTACTATGGTGTGAAAAGTTTGAAATGAGATCTTGTATTCTGAGATACCAATTTTTCATACACATGTGAAATTTGCTGACAAAGATTACTAAGGGAAATTTTGGGAATTTTAAAAAAAATGGTTTTTATTTTTATTCTTTAAAATTTAAACCTATACAAAAAAATGGTTTAAACTTTTTTTTTTTCTCTGAGGAATTTTTCCCAAAATCTTCGACAGTGAGAGTAATTCCCCTTTTAACATGCTTAAAAAAAATTTTTTTTCATGGGTTTTCACCTTTGAGCAAATAACAATTTTTAACTTTTTATTAAATTATTAAAGGGGTTAAAAATTTTTATGCACCCAAAGGGGATGGTTTAAAAAATTGAAATTTGGGTACATATCTTGCTATGTCTGCATTCTATACAGTATGAAAAGTAAAACAATTCATTTGATCCAAAAGTGCCAGCTCATCTTATGGTAAATTCAAAATATCAAAGTTTACTTCAATATTTTCTATAAACTATACACCATATATTTTCCATACAAATTCAATTATTCAAGCTAATTATTAACACATGCTTTCATAACTTCAATCTTTTGTCATCAAATATGTATAGAAAATCACATTTTAGATTCTCAATTATGTCTGAACAAGTGTATACATACAGAGTTGGTCAAAAACAAAGTATCACTGTTTTTCAAATACAGACATTAAAAATATTAAACAAACTTCGGATAAATCTTACCTTCTTTACATTCCTTTGCGACCTTGACCTCAAGGTTATCCATTTGTATCTGCCATTTTTTCTTCATGCTCAGATTTTCTCTTGATTTAATACACCACAATACAACAAAGAAAATAACAACAAGCACAAGGACACCTCCGCCAGCTCCAAGACCAATTATCACAGGTAATGGTAGAATTTCAGTCTGCTCATACTTCAAGTAACCTATCTGCTTACTGAAATTTCTTCCCACTTGGACCTGTAATGACCATAACAGAACTATGTATTAAAACATACTTGCCGGAATGTCCCGGATATATACGGGATTGTCCCAGACATCTGGTGACTGTCACAGAAGCATCCCAGTCAATTATATGCTATTTAAAACTTAACAAGTGGGGATCCAGGATTTTTTTTACCAGAAGGCAGGCAAGTGGTTATTAAAATTCTAGATTCTACAGGGGGTTGGTATTTGACTAGTTTTCCAGAGGGGTCATGAGTCAACATGACTTTCACAAAAACAAAAATTAAGTATGATTGCATAAAGCAATATAAGGGATTTGAGGGCATGACCATGACATTTTACTATTGGGCGAATGAAAAGAAATCTTTCTAAAGAACTGCCAAAGGGAGTGATTCATATAGGTTGAAAGCTACCATCAGCAATCTGTAACTACATGTATATACAATTAAAACTATAACCAATTAGTATTAATCAAATACATCTAAGATGCTTTATTTTTTAATCATATCCTATACAGAGATACCTTTACTAAGCTTTAAAAATAATGTTAAATCAATACAGTGTAATATAATATGACAGGTGCAGTCTTTCTACATGTTACATGTACTTCCTAGTCTCAAGTTTATCTAAAACATTAAAACATAAACAACTCTATGTTTATTTTCAATCAGTGTATAGAGCAATATAATAATAAGTTTTAAAGAGTTGCATAAGCATCACAAAAAATACAGACTTCAAATACAAAATGTAATTCTAATTCAATAATAATTTAAAGATTTCGTAAAACTTCCTACACAATGAAACTAAAAAGAATTCTATATGAACTCTCTTAACAGATGTTCTTTAACATCACCTTAATCAATACTTATAGGTTTTGAAATCTAATTATAAAGTTCTACATGATTTATACACAAGAGAAAATACACTAACTAACATTTACTAGTTCATCTAATGAGGAAAATCGATTAAAATGAGCCTGCAATTTTGCGCTTATTGCTTTATTTTCACTATTCATGAGGGATATTAGAAATATGAAATTGAAAATTTACGAAATTGAAATAACGAAGAAATCAATGAATTTATGAAATCCTGCAAATGAGACTGGCTAAATATGCTTAGTCATTGACTATAATATCTAAATTCTTAAAATATAAACTGTTTCTACCACATCTACTATTACTGGTAATCATTAAATATTGTTATGGTTACCAAGGACCAGCAACTTACATTTATTAACCTCTTACATTAAATATCATGTGTTACAAAATGAAAATCGGCATTCTTTTTATTTGACTTCTTTTTCATTTTTTTTTTTCCGATGAACAGAGTAAAATAAAGCTCTTGTATGACACAGAGTTAAAAGATGCACATACCACAACTTCAGGGTACTTGCTCCCCTTTTCGGATGGTGGCTGGTTCTTTGGTGGTTTACAATTCAACTGGTTCCCATTCTTATCAATGGAGGTCACGTTACAGAAGTCTTTGCCAATCTTTACAGTTACATCACTTGGGTTGAAGCCCAAATTCAAGTTGCGACCCTGAAATAAATGATTGGTTTTTGCAAAACATTTTTTTTATAGATATCTGAAAGCAAAAGTCGTAAAAATTTGAATGCAATATTCAGAACTGGAGCTAAAATTTGATAAGTGAGACCTCTTCTAAAGCAAACATTTAAGAAAAATATTGTTTTATTTTATTTTTAGCTGAGCTTGCATAACTCAATGCAAAAGTCATAATCATACCATTTCTTCAATATCTTATCTAAATCAGTCTTATTTACAGACCAAACAGATTCCAATCTTTAAGTCTAAAAGCAAACACCTTTTCTTAATTACATCTGCATCAGCTCAGACACAAAAAACATTTTCTCTACAATTAAATGAAACCTTGAAAATCAATACAATAGCAACCAGTTTTCAATATAAAGTGCAAATGTATCTCAATGACACAAAAATCGCTGTATTCCATGCAGCAGACACGTTTTAATTAATCTCTAAACTTTATATTACCAACATCTGAAGTGAATCTGATCTTTAACAAGGAAAACAAGGATTTTACTATCAACATAATAGAAGTAAAAGCAGATTTTTGTTTTTTATATACAAATTATTTTCCTAAAACTTGGTATGAAAATAAAAGGATTTTTCGATACCAGTATCTTCTTATGCATCAGTCTGTAACAATAAATTGACCTTTAGTAGATGATTTCTTAAGGGTCATATAGTAGCTTTCCAGCTTTACTGGTGGAAAGAAGACCTTTAGGTGCCCCTCTATGCATTATTTAAAGCACATGCGGGCACTTGAATAGGAAATACAATGTTATGTTAACTAGCTGGATAACTTCCTCACATGAAAAAATACAAAGTCCCTGGCAGGATTTGAACCAAAAGCACAGGGGCAAGTAAATTGAAATCAATAACCTTAACCATTTGGCCACAGTTACCCTTTTGTTTAAAGGTAACAATATATCGCAGACATCACAAAAGCTATGAAGGCATTTTCATTTTGTTATAAGGATGAATAATATAGCAATACTTACATTTATAGTGAGGTAGTTATCGGTTGAACTTTGGTATGATTTTTGGTCGGAAAATATCTCAAAGATAGGGTCTGGATAAATGGTAAACATTTCATTTTGTTGCGACCTGTCAATGTAAGTGTTGTCCAGTTGTATTCCGTACGAGAACTTGACACCGCTTGGATCAGTGACTGTGTTGTTAGGGATCATGGGAGAGTAACAGAACATGTACGGATCGCCGGCTGCTGGTATACGACAGTCCTGAAATATATTGTCATATAAGTACTATAGCATAATGCAAAACTTAACATTTATATAGAATGAAAAATACTGTTGTCACTTAATACTTTTTGCTTGCGATTCTCAGAAAAATAAATAAGATTCAAGCCCCAATGAATGTGCATTTTAATTCATAAACATTTTTTCAAAACAAGTCTCTTTAAAAAAATATTTAGCTACTTTAATGCCCCCCTCTTACCAATTGAAACTTTATTTAAGGGAAAATGCTTACAAAAAATGAGGAACAAGTTTCAATTATACAAGAGGCAAAACTTATTCATAGTAGGATATATCAATCAATACATAATTCAAAGTTGATATATCAAGTATCAATTCAAATTTGTTTATGCCATTTTTTATATATGAGAAATTACTCATATTTTGGCAACTACACCACAAATGCTATTAAAAAAATATGCCATCAATTATTTCTAGTTACACCTCATCTGTTACACATCATTTTCTATGACCATAATTGTAAACGTATTTAGATAACACCGCTATCTTGAAATCTAAATGCTTTTAGCGCTGTTCATTGACAAGTGTTCATGCCATACATTGTTGACTAAGCATTAGAATGATAAGGTTATATTTGTACAACACTTGAAGCCATAAACCTTTACATCCTATGCTGCAATAAAGTTATCTTCACTACTCAACACTGCAAAAAAATAAAAAACCCACACAAATGCATGTCCTTGTGGGTTTTTTTTCTCGCAATAAAATAAGAATTTTATTCCCAATAAGATCCCTATTCATTTGATTAAAGATCTTTAATTGTTAACCACTAGATGTTTTTTTAAAAGATGTGTATTTTCATTCAAGGCTTTTTTTTGTCCCAAGAATTTTTCTAAGACCCACCATTGTCCAGAACATTTTTATTTTTATACTATACTCATGTTGAAGGTTTTTTTTTTGTTTTTGTTTTTTAATGAATGATTTTTTTTTAATATTCAATCACATTACATACAAACTGGCCAGAAAGATACTGTTTACAAATAATTTAAAAACTAATAAAGCAACTTTCAAGCAGTAATATATGGCTAAGGTAAACCACAGATGTCTCTTATTTAAGAATTGTTGGTTTCGCAGGTTTAGGAACCAATCCTAACACATGAAAGTCTGAAAATTAATAAATAGGATAAACAAGAGGGCCATGATGGCCCTGAAGTCGCTCACCTGTACATAGGCCCCCGGAGCAAGGCCAGTTTAAAGCCCGGGGCTTTTATTTGAACAAACTTTGTAGACAACCATTAGAAGATGTTTCATGCTAAACATCTAAGGTCTAGCTCGTTGATTTTTAAAAAAAAAAAATTTTAAGTTTTTTCTTTACACATATAGTTAAAAACAATGACACACCTGGGGCAGGGCCAGTTTTGACCCCAGGGCTTTTATTTGAACAATCTTTGTAGACACTTACTAGAAAATGTTTCATGCTTAATATCTAAACTCTAGCTATTCGGGTTTTTTAAAAGAAGATTTTTAAGTTTTTGCTATACTTGTATAAGGAAAATCAATGTCCCCCGGGGCGGGGCCAATTTTGACTCCAGGGCTTCTATTTGAACAAACTTTGAAGACACTCACTAGAAGATGCTTCATGCTTAACCTTTTCCCTTATATAAGCGTGTTTCGACGGCTTTTTGACCCCCCCCCCCCTTTTTGAGGCCTCAAACAGTGAAAAAATGTCCTATTTAGACCCCAAACACTGTTTTTCGTTTGAGAAATGTTGTAAAAAAAAGTGACCATTTTTTCGGCGCCGTCCCCCATCCAAATAATACATCAGGGGGTTGCCAGAAGGGGGATGTGCCCCCTTCTGTTTGGGGGGTTTGAAGGGGGCGGAGTCCCCCTCATCGCCAAGAAAACTTTGGACTTGTGAGAGGCTTAAAATGACCCCAGGTTGATCATAAGATTAACGTGTAACCAACGCTGAAAAGCCTTTGACTCTATCTCAATCCCTTGAGAAGTTGCAGCACTTGAAATAAATTTTGATGGAAAAAAAATCGAGGCAAAAAAGTGATTTTTGGCAATTTTGAGATGTCCCCTCGTTGCCATGTAACAGGAAATTTAAGACTGAGCATGTCGTTACAAAGGCAATGGTCCAGTCAACATTTGTGCCAAGTTTGATTAGTATTGAAGCATTTTTCATAGTTTCATAGCAGTTTGAACTTGTTAGAGGAGGTTTTTCAGTGAAAATGGCCATTTTTCACAATATGCTCATGGGGGAAAGGGTTAATATCTAAACTCTTGATATTTGAGTTTTTTCAAAGAAGATTTTTCAATTTTTGCTATAGTTTTACACATAAAGGGAAAATGAATGACCTCCGGGGCGGGGCCAATTTTGACCCCAGGGCTTTTATTTGAACAAACTTAGTAGACATCCATTAGAAGATGTTTCATTCTAAATATCTTAGCTCTAGCTCTTTTGGTTCTTTAAAAGAAGATTTTTTAAGTTTTAACTATATGCATATAGAGAAAATCAATGACCCCCTGGGGCGGGGCCAATTTTGACCCCAGGGCTTTTATTTGAACAAACTTGGTAGACATCCATTAGAAAGTGTTTCATGCTAAATATCTTAGCTCTAGCTCTTTTGGTTATTTAACAGAAGATTTTTTAAGTTTTTACTATATGCATATAGGGAAAATCAATGACCCCCTGGGGCAGGGCCAATTTTTACCCTAGGGCTTTTATTTGAACAAACTTGGTAGACACCCATTAGAAGATGTTTCATGCTAAATATCTAAGCTCTAGCTCTTTGGGTTCTTTAAAAGAAGATTTTTTAAGTTTTTACTATATGCATATAGGGAAAATCAATGACCCCCTGGGGCGGGGCCAATTTTGACCCAAGGGCTTTTATTTGAACAAACTTGGTAGACACTCACCAGAAGATGTTTCATGCCAAAAATCTAAGCTCTAGCTCTTTGGGTTTTTTAGAAGAAGATATTTTAAGTTTTTTCTTTTGGTTGCCATGGCAACCAGAGTTCTGCATGGAATTAAATTCTTTGAACAATTTTCAAAGGTGACCACCAAAGGAACATTCCTGTGAAGTTTGGATGAAATTGGCTTAGTGGTTTATGAGGAGATGTCATTTAAAGTAAAAGTTTACGGACGCCGGACGAAAAGCGATCACAAAAGCTCACCCTGTCACTTTGTGACAGGTGAGCTAAAAATGAGACGACTAAAATACTGTAGACATAACAGTAACAAAGGTTTACAATAAATTGTACAGTATCAATAACTAACCCCGGTGTATTCCTGTACATTCCTCTTCCTTCGACTTCCTTCTTTCCTAAATATCATGTGAGCCTGCTGTATGTATTCTAAATTGGTGCCGTTGACCAGGATTTTTATTCCACCACTCACAATGGCTCGGATTGGCTCAACCGAGTATATAACCGGATCTTCTATATATACAAACTCAAGCAGGCTAATAACATCCTGGTCATCAAATTTGGCGGAAATTTTGGCTGTGGAATTCTGTATGGCTTTTGATGTTACACAAATAATTTGATTTTCAAGTCTCCTACAATAAAAGAAATATAAAAATAAAATTATGAATATTATATTAATAAAATTGATATCAATCTAAATGTTGGTAGAGCTTTGTCATATGTTATCTAATATTTTGTATCATGAATATTGTAAACTGATTTTATTCACACAAAAAAAAATCATGTGCGGACCACAAAACAACTTAAATAAAGACTTTAATTACTAAAGAAGAAATAGTGAAATCTCTCCTATACTTAGTCATGTGTCTTTAAACATGTATTTTCATCTTTGAAATAAGGCCACCTTAAACCAAGTCCACTACATAACCCTCTCAGATATGGTCTTTATATGCATCTTTGATGTTAATCATTTTTCATTTAGGTAAATAAAATACTCCAAAACTATAAAGTTCAGTGCAAAACTTGTATATATCTTATTATATACATGTAATTTAAGCCTTATATTAAATTTAACAATGATGTGCAAGATGTAGAAAAGTATAGAAAGATACCAACGTTTATAATAAACCTTATGTTAAGCCTTACCCTTGACCCAAAACTGATAAGCCTATGCCACCAGTATAGATCTAGGCCAGCCTGCACATCTGTACATTCTGACCAAGCTCTATACAGTTGACTAACCAACTTTCTGTTTCACCTGGATATTCTCAATATTATATTGATAATTAAAAGCTCAAAAAATAGGAGCTGGAAAATTTAGCAGTTTAAGGATTAACGGATAATTAACTTACTGTTTAACTGGACATTTGTTTGTCCCTAACATAACCGTCACCGAAGTTCCTGCATTTAGGAATCTACCATTGATAGTCACTCTAGTACCACCTGACACTGGTCCTCGTGTAGGCGAAATACTGTTCAATTCTGGATCCTACAAATAATCCAATCAAATATAGTTTATATCATGTGTTATATCAGTCTTCTGAAGGAAAATATCATTTTCTATTTTAAGTAGGATTATCTACCATTTAACAATGATTTCATGCATGCAATATTGACTCTTGAGACAAAATTCAAACATATTCCTATCAGGTATGGAAATATGCTTTTTCAAATTAAATTAAAACTTTATAAACTATAGCCAGCAGATATATACCTTAATACATGTTAACTAGAGTAGTTATTCAAACACCGATTTTTACATCTAAGCAATTCAGCAATAATTTATGCTGTCTAAATGGCATCAAATGTATTCAATATAAACCTTCAAAAAATAATTATACCTTATCTTAGCCTTTATCATAATCCCAAAATCCATAGACCTATTGAATTATCAGTGAAAATCAAACTAGAACTGCCACTATCATGGCTTGAATACCCCCGCATACCACTTTGTCAGAATCAACAGTGGCCATTTAGAGCTCAAGGACAACCTCCCTGCAAAATCTGAGGTTATGCCAGTGCATTGCTAAGTTATGTATTCTACATGCTTCAAATGTCAAAATCAATAAATTGCGGACAGGACATTCTTTAGCAATTGAGAAGAAAAGCTTTTTTTTTGTCAAGGTCCCTGTGACCTTGACCTTTGACCCAGTGACCTGAAAATCAATAGGGGTCACCTTATAGTCATGATCAACATCCATGCCAAATATGAAGACTGTGGGTCAAAGGAATCTTAAGGAGTGGACAAACTTTTTGAAGTCAAAGTCCCTATGACCTTGACCTTTGATCCAGTGACCTCAAAATCAAAAGGGTCATCTACTAATCATGATCAACATCCATGCCAAATATGAAGACTGTGGGTCAAAGTAATCTAAAGTTATTGGGCAGACAAACTTTTTAAAGTCAAAGTCCCTGTGACCTTGACCTTTGACCTCAAAATCAATAGGGGTCATCTACTAATCATGACTAACCTCCATGCCAAATATGAAGACTGTGGGTCAAAGGAATCTTAAGTTATTGGGCGGACAAGCTTTTTGAAGTCAAGGCCCCTGTGACCTTGACCTTTGACCTGGTGACCTCAAAATCAATAGGGGTCATCTACTAATCATGACGTACCTCCATGCCAAATATGAAGACTGTGGGTCAAAGGAATCTTAAGTTATAGGGCGGACAAGCTTTGTCAAGGCCCCTGTGACCTTGACCTTTGACCTGGTGATCTCAAAGTCAATAGGGGTCATCTACTTATCATGACTAGCCTTCATGTCAAATATGAAGACTGTGGGTCAAAGGAATCTTAAGTTATTGGGCGGTCAAGCTTTCTGAAGTGAAGGCCCCTGTGACCTTGACCTTTGACCTGGTGACCTCAAAATCAATAGGGATCATGTACTAATCATGACTTACCTCCATGCCAAATATGAAGACTGTGGGTCAAAGGAATCTTAAGTTATTGGGCGGACAAGCTTTTTGAAGTCAAGGCCCCTGTAACCTTGACCTTTGACCTAGTGACCTCAAAATCAATAGGGATCATCTACTAATCATGACTAACCTCCATGCCAAATATGACGACTGTAGGTCAAAGGAATCTTAAGTTATTGGGCGGACAAGCTTTTTAAAGTCAAGGCCCCTGTGACCTTGACCTTTGACCTGGTGACCTCAAAATCAATAGGGGTCATCTACTAATCATGACTAACTACCATGCCAAATATGAAGACTGTGGGTCAAAGGAATCTTAAGTTATAGAGCAAAATGAAAAAACCGACGGCCGGACGGACGGCCGGACGGACAGCCGGACGGACGGACAAGCTGATTCCAGTATACCCCCCTTACAACTTTGTTGTGCGGGGGTATAATGACTTACGACATAGGTGAAGGATTGTTTGGCAGTTGAAGCATATGTATTTCCAATCACTACACGCACAAATCCTGTCACATATTTATCCTTCGGTCCTGTCTGACACACAATTCTATAACACGGAAACAAAATATTTTTCTTTTTAATTTCACACCAAAAAAAACAACAAATTACCGAATATGAAACCCTACTTTATAATGAAATACAATCATGAACTTGGTTTTTGTTAATGAAATATAAGTCAAATCACTCACTTCTTTATATTCTTTTAATAAATGATGTGTTTTTTTATGTTAAACATTATGCAGTGAATTTATTCTTCAAGAATTCAAAATATAATTTATTTGAAGCGAAAATCTTACAAAATCTTCTTTCTTTTCAAGAGGCCGCATGGCTGTGGTGTTCAACGTGTCGATCTAGTAATATATTGATTGCTGGTTGTGATGGTTCAAACCCCATTAGGGGCAAGCCATTGTGTCTGTGAGCAAGAAACTTAGCACTCATTGCTTAGTACTGGTTGGTTCCAGTACTGGATTCTAGGGTGTTTCAATATGCTTATAGCTTCAAACACAATCAAACAAACATAAATTTGTATAAACTAAAAAATCTTGTAAGTTTCACTTATTCCAAGTGCTTGATGGAAACTTAAAATATTCTTATAAACCTTTCAGGATAATTCAAAGATACTCAAAACAATAATAAAAAATCCTCAATAGTCATTACAAACGTAGAAAATCAAACAGTCAAATAAAAAGAAAACTAACTGATATGGAGGCTGATATTCTTCTATAATTGGATTACAGGCCACCTCCGCCACACTGATTCCGCCCTCAATGTCCTCTTTAGACTTGCCAAGATTTTTACCAAGAATCGTCAATTTGGTACCACCCATTTTAGGCCCTGTCAATGGCTCAATCTGAAAATAACAAGATTTAACATCATTTATTATCATATCAAAATTGTTAATTGTCTATTTAAATATAACTATAATTATTCAATACATTTTGTATCTGTTTATATTTGCATCATATTTTCAGAGCATAAATACATTATCAATTCTTTAGTTAACAAGATATGTTTGTAAAACATGTATGCCCCCTATCAGCAGCCAATAAGTCATGTGATAAGGTTATTATGCATGACATCTGACCCAGTGATCAAACAATTAATAAGGGTTATCAAGTATCTACTGGTCATGACCTTAACCTTTGACCCCTTGACCCAAAACTCAATAGGGGTCATCTGCTGGTCATGACCAATCATCATACAAAGTTTGAAGTTCCTAGGCCTAAGCGTTTTTAGTTAATTGATCGGAAACCGTTTTTACCTACAAGGTCAATGTGACCTTGACCTTTGACCCCTTGACCCCAAAATCAATAGGTCATCTGCTGGTCATGACCAATCACCATACCAAGTTTGAAGTTCCTAGGCCGAAGCGTTCTTTAGTTATTGATCAGAAACCGTTTTTACTTACAATGTCAATGTGACCTTGACCTTTGACCCCTTGATCCCAAAACTCAATAGGGGTAATCTGCTGGTCATGACCAATCACCATACCAAGTTTGAAGTTCCTAGGCCTAAGCGTTCTTAAGTTATTGATCAGAAACCGTTTTTACTTACAAGGTCAATGTGACCTTGACCTTTGAACCCCTTGACCCAAAACTCAATAGGGGTCATCTGCTGGTCACGACCAATCATCATACAAATTTTGAAGTTCCTAGGCCTAAGCGTTTATAGTTAATTTGAATCGGAAACCGTTTTTACCTACAAGGTCAATGTGACCTTGACCTTTGACCCCTTGACCCAAATCAATAGGTCATCTGCTGGTCATGACCAATCACCATACCAAGTTTGAAGTTCCTAGGCCTAAGGGTTCTTTTGTTATTGATCAGAAACCATTTTACCTAAGAGGTCAATGTGACCTTGACCTTTGACCCCAAAATCAATAGGGGTCATCTACTGATCATGACCAATCACCATACCAAGTTTGAAGTTCCTAGGCCTTAAAGTTCTTTAGTTATTGATCGGAAACCGTTTTTACCTACAAGGTCAATGTGACCTTGACCTTTGACCCCTTAACCCTAAAATCAATAGGGGTCATCTACTGATCATGAACAATCACCATACCAAGTTTGAAGTTCCTAGGCCTAAGGGTTCTTTTGTAATTGACCAGAAACCGTTTTTACCCAAAAAGTCAATGTGACCTTGACCTTTGACCCCTTGACCCCAAAATCAATAGGGGTCATCTACTGATCATAACCAATCACCATACCAAGTTTGAAGTTCCTAGGCCTTAAAGTTTTCTAGTTATTGATCGGAAACCGTTTTTGCTTACAAGGTCAAGGTGACCTTGACCTTTGACCCCTTGACCCCAAAATCAATAGGGGTCATCTACTGATCATGACCAATCACCATACTAAGTTTGAAGTTCCTAGGCATAAAGGTTCTTTAGTTATTGATCGGAAACCGTTTTTGCTTACAAGGTCAATGTGACCTTGACCTTTGACCCCTTGACCCCAAAATCAATAGGGGTCATCTACTGGTCATGACCAATCACCATACCAAGTTTGAAGTTCCTAGGCCTAAGGGTTCTTTAGTTATCACTCGGAAACCATTTGGTCTACGGACCGACGGACCGACAAGTGCAAAGCAATATACCCCCTTTTCTTCGAAATGGGGGCATAATAATACTAAATCTATCGAAGCTAGAAAATGAGTAAGCATTTTATCATGATAACATGTAAAAGCAGGAGACTATCTCAAGTTATGAAATAAACGTTGTTCATGATAAGGCCAGAGATGAGACTCACAAAACAACAACAACAACATTATCATTGTTACCCAACAAATGAATCATACACACCACAAAAACCTCAAATACTATCACAGAAAATATGTGTTACCGTATATACAGAAATATCAATGCAGCAATACTCAATAGGGTATCACAATTTGAATCATAGCACCATTACAATCATAGCAAATGTGTGGTACCTCAATAAGATTCAAAGCACCAATAAGGTATAACAGGTTTAATCATAGCACCAAACATAATCATAGCAAATGTGTGGTACATCAATTAGACTCAAAGCACCTTTTAGGTATGACAGATTTAATCATAGCACCAAATTATGAATTAAATCGTAACAAATGTGTGGTACATCAATTAGATTCAAAGCACCAATAAGGTATAACAGGTTTAATCTACATCATAGCAACAAAACAAATCATAGTCCATGTGTGGTTTATTATCAAGAAATATCATAGCACCAATAAGGTTTAACTAAGTTGATTCATAGCGAAAATGTGTGGTACGTCAAGTAGAATCCTAGCCCAAATAAGGTTTACCAAGTTGAAACACATCACCAAATACAATCACAGCAAATATGTGGTAGATCAATTAGAATCATAGCACCAATTAAGATGTAACAAGCTGAATTATAGCACACACACACAAAAATAGCAAATGTGTTTAATATCATTAGGAATCATAGCACCAATTAAGGTGTAACAAGCTGAATTATACAGTACTGGACACGCGAAACCCGCACAATTCGCGGCGAACTCTCACGCTTTATAACGCGAGCGAATTCGCGGCAACTTGAGACAATTGCCGCGAATTCCACTCGCGGCGATTTTGCCGTGAACATTTGCCGTGATTCGCGGGGAATAATACATGTTCATTTGTATAATAAATGTAGACCTATTTATAATTTATAATTGTACTCTGTGCCAGATATACATGCACAAGTACGAAAATTAATTAGTAGATCTACATGAAGTTGTATCAAGAAAATCTTGTAATTTGCTAAAATGCCCTTTCTCTATTTATCTTTGATGCCAACAGCAAATATAAATAACCACGGCGAAATCAAATAACACCGTTAAAAACTTTCCTTGAATGGCGGAATCATGACCTCAATGTATAAATGCGACGCAGCACAAGTATGCGGCTCCATCAGTAGGTAAATAGTGTACATGTACACGTGTAAAAATATTTTTTTAGGCGGGGATACATATTGAGTTTAAAGTAGAGATATAAATATAATATACGTGTAAAAAGATATGTAGTTACATAAAAAGATACATAATTGATACGACATTAGCTGGTTCATTTCTAAATGTATCCCCATACTGAAAATGTTACATAAGACTTCAGTCCAATGACTGCTGTAAAGTGGAACTGTTTCAACTCTGTTTCGTCTGTTTACTTATTTTGATTTTAAATTTTGAAATTTGTAATCGTTCTTCTTTTTCAGACTGACAATGGACAGACACCGTTTACCCTTCCATAACTGGTTTGCTGCTTGTGAATTTTATTTTCATGCAGGCGAGGACAAGCAATTCAAAACACAAAGAAATAATGATGTACTATGTTATTTTGCTTGGAGTATTATAAGTTTTATTTGCTATGTTAATCTGTCATTTCAACCTTCATATATCGTTCTGAAAACAACAGTACTTTTGAATGAATGCTTTATGGACATGGATTATGTCACGTATTTCACGCGACTTTATTTACAAATAGGCGACAAATAGATTCGTAATAATTAATTTTATATGTTTTCATTCAACGAGTATTTAATATCCCTTTATCAAAGTTTAAATAACCTTGTTTGGCTTATTTGCAGAGCTGTGTGTTGCTACAAAGAACAGACAATGTGATGATGACTAACAGGAAGCGAACCTCAACGAGGATGACTACAAAGTTGAATTTTTGATTAATTCTATTCTGGGGAACTGCCCTGACTATTATTGGTTATTTTTATATTTGATATTTATAAATAAATGAATAAATGTGGATATAACAGTTCACGGATTGTTTGATTAAACCTTTTGTTTGTTTGTTTTACTGTAACCCAACGAATATTCGCGACCAATTAATATTCGCTTTATTCGCGGATGGCCACGAAGCGCGAATATTTGTTTGCGCGAATAAGTCCGCACGATTTCGCGAATAAATTGGAGAGAAATTTTTATTTTAGACGTGGTTATGCAAAGCTACTTGACCGGATATATTCGAATTTTACGGGCACCTGTTAGGAAGTAATGAATTGTTATGAATATTGCCATAAAGCAATAAAAACACAAACTAAGTAAACTACTACTATTTTATAAATATCAAAAGAACTCTATGTCAATATAGCAATCAAAATAAACATCCACATTTTAATACAGTTTATGAAATACTAGTAGGCCTATTGTCAATCACGTTCCGTATAGGGTACTATACGGAGCATGTGTCAGTTTTAAGTTTCTTCATATTTACACTTCTATACTAAGTATATGCATACAAAGTACTCGCACTTATTTTAAAAAATGTTTGAATAAATCGTTTGACAAAAGTGGGAAAACTGTCGAGCATCACAAAAGGCTATTGTTTTTTGGATCCTATAAAATAATTGTTTGAGTGAATTGTTAAGACAAAGGTGGTATAGACCTATCGAGCATCACAAAAGGGTATTGGGTGTACATAATTACAAACAGTGAAATACAAGATGGTTTCATACCAGTATCGATTTTTACCCGTCAAACTTAACAGCCTGTATAGCTCAACTGGTTAGATTGCGGACTCATATAACATAATTTTCTCGGCGTGGGTTCGATCCCTGATTGAAGAAGGTATTTTTTTATGAAACGCTTAAATTGAATTTCTTAAAGACTTTTCTAGATAAAAATGAAGACGAACATGTACATGTACAATATAGAAAAAATGTTTTGCTGAATTGTGATCACAATTCACTTACCAATACAATATAAGGCTAGCGTATTGTTAATCCCATTTAAGACACCAATAATGACCTCAATTATTGAAGATTAATAGTCGGCTAATGGATTTTACTGCCCCATCGGACTTTCCAATCCGCGAATATTTTTTTTTCGGAAATCAAGAAAACGCGGAAATTAATATTCGCG